TTATATTTTCAGAGTTGAAAAGGAGTAAAAATAGTCTTTTGTTGAGTTAAAGTGTTTGGGTAGTTAGTCGTTACACAGAAAAATCTGAAATTTAGAAAAGACTTTTAGTGTCAGCAAAAATTCACTGATCATCTCTGCTGTTGCTGTGAGAGATGATTTGTTTGAAGTCACCAACACATGATTGTCACTGATACATGTTTCTTTCAGCACATGCCGAGGGGAAGCAAAAAGCTATGTCCTCTCTTGTGTTTAAACAGCTTGGAGGCAGTCACATCTCTGCTCTTTGAAAGTTGAAATCTGTGGGTTTTTATAAGAAATTTTTCCAGAAAATAGGCTCAAGAAAAATAGGGTTTTAGTTTTCTTTGATTGGTCAAATATTTTACATGGTGATATTAATTTCTGAACAGCATGTGTTGTATTGTAGAGTCTTTTGGCCATGTAATATTGTCTGTTATTGGGTAGAAAATAAAGTTTGGGTCTGTTTTAATATAGTATGTATGTGAGTATGTAATATCCCAAGTGTTTATTCTTTCACATCTTGTATCTGTTCCTCATGTTTATTATTAAACACTTTGATTCTAATGCCAATAACTCATATTGGTAATTTCACTCTTTTATCTTAGTAAATATCAATCCAGTCCCATTTCAATTTCTTTCTCTCTCTCTTTTCTTCTTTTTTATCAGGTTGATATCTATGTAAACATGCTTTCTCAGATACTTACACTTGAGGACCCATCTTTTGTGAGTACATCTGACAATTGTTCCCCAATATGTATCTCCAACAACATCACCTCTTCTCTATTCTATTAATGATTTCAAGAACAATAAACATTTCATTATGTCATCAGATGTTACTAATGGTTTTTATCATTTTTTTACAGTCTTAAATGGGAGGCACGGTGGAGTAATGAATGGCAGCTTGGATTGAGGAATCGGAGAGCTGAGTTCAAATTCCAGTCGAATCCATTACATTCACTTTCGTGCTAATACTGTTGGGAGAAGTATGAATCTTCTTCTCCCCTCAGCTATGGGTAAATAACAGGACAGACCAGGTTCTATAGCCTTGGATGGCAACTGGTCTACCACAGAAAGAAATGGCAACCTACTGCTGGAAAAAATCTGCTTTGTCAGTCATGTATCAAAAGATACATGATCGCCTAAGCTTGTATCACACATGGCAAAAAAGACAGTATTAAGTACACTTTTGTTGTTTACCTTGCAATGGATAAGCTAGAGTTTCTGTTATTGTAGATCATTTATGCAGTTATTTTTGCTATAAGACATATCACAAATTTTTAAAAATGATATGGATTCTTCTCAACAAAACTGGATAGCCATAAAACATTTTCATTAAATTTAAGCATAAGAAAAACCCTGAGAAAACTTCAAACAGCTGCAACAACAAAAATGGGTAGCACATATAACTAGAAGGGAAAATAATGATTTAATCAAGATGCTGCCTTTCCACACTACATTAAACAAAAGGTTAGTAAGGAAACTCGCATTAATACTGGAAAGAGCAATAACAGTGAAATCAAGAAACTTACCTTACTGAAAAATTGTTTTAAGAGAACTCGGATTTGGAGAGCCAAGTTCAAATTCCACTTTAGAAAACAATAGCCAAGTGAAGACATATAAATATTTACTTAATCATTTAAGCATTAAAATTAATTATTTATGCAAAAAATGAAATACAATTTTCCTAACTCAAGAAAAGACTAAACAACAACAGCCTGTCTAGAAAAAAAAAATGGAAGCCAAATAGCAATAAATGGTAACAATTGTAAAGTGGAGAGAAAAAAAGCAATGAAAATGACAAATAATCATGACACCTTACTAATATGAACATCCATGTAGACAGGTGCACAAGTGTATGCATGTATGCATGTGTGTGTGCAAATGCACACACACATGCATACACATACACTATAAAAAAAAACTTGCAGCAATGATAAGTGCATATAAAAATGTATAACCATCAATTGCTGATAGCCCCTGACAAGTGGATGGACAAGCCTGTCTACAAAACTCGGGAGTCAGGATGCTGAAGGTAACATCAATCAGCAAAGGGACAAACTTTTTACTTCTATTGATTCTATATCCCTATATTTGGATTCTTGAGATTTCTAAGTCATGCAAAGCAGATAGCACTTGCTAAGTTTTTGATGTTTCTTAATATCTTATTTGCTTTATTTAGGTAGGTAGCTTTAGCATTTGTAATCACTGAGCACATCTGACAAATAGCAAAAACCTGTATAATGGTGTGTCATGCCAGCAATCTAATTAAGATGTCCAACGTGCAATCTCAAGTTTGTCCTCTCCTTCTCAGTAGCTGTATCATGTTTTTGAAGCTGATAACATTTGTCTATTATAATAGGTTCAATACTTTTAATATAACTTATTTGTTTAAGGCAAATATAAAAATCTAGTCTCTATATAAGCTCAATGATGACATATTTGAAGACGTGAATTTTCACAGCTTAATGTCAAAATTGATAAAATCACAAACAAAAAGGAAAAGAAACTAAATAAAATTGGCTAGACTATTTACCCAAAAAAGCAGACTATAGAACTCTTACAGCAGGTAGCAATGGAAAGTGAGAAGAAAGGAATAAACATTAAATGTAAGAAGGCAGAATATATATATTATCAGTAAAAGAAACAGCCCAGTATGTAAAATACAAATTGAAGATGCAAAACTTAAACAAGTGTAAAAGTTTAAATATCTAGGAAGTGTTTTAACAGTGGATGGAAAATGTGACATTAAAATCTGAAGATGCATTCAAATTGCCTCTTTTGCTATTTGAATGTATCTTCAGATTTTAATGTCACATTTTCCATCCACTGTTAAAACACTTCCTAGATATTTAAACTTTTACACTTAAATCTAAGTAATAATAAGTATAAAAAAACAGAAAAACTTCATTGGAAACAAAGAAAAGTGTACTGGACTTTTATATAATACTGGTGCTCCTATATGGCAGGAAATGCTGGACCATCTCATCACAGTTGGAGAAGTGACTTGAAGCAACAGAAATGTGGTTCTACATGAGGATAGCGGGGATAGAACACAGGAGCTATGACAAAGTTTTAGAGAAAATGGAAACAAAAAGGACACTTATTCTTAGAATTAGAGGAAGTTAAAATTTCTAGAGCATATAATGAAAAAAGAGAACTTGGAAAATTTGACACTTACAGGATATATTGAAGGCAAGAAGGACAGAGGAAAGCAGTGCTTAACCTACCTAACAAGCTTGTGTAAATGGTTGGCAAAACAGAGATTAGGAGAGACAATGGCTACAAAGAACAGGAAGTATTGGATAGCCATGATCACCAACATTCTAAAGGTACATGGCATATAGAAGAAGATATATATAAAAACTCAGTGTCAAATCTACTAAATTCAACCTTCATAAGTTAAAAGTTCAGCTTGTCCTATAAATATGTACCCTGCTGTATGTGTTTCCCCTTGCTTCTTTGAGTTCATTTACTGTCTCTATGAGTTTCCAATGTTTTACAGGTGTTCCATTCACATGATGGATGAAGAAAAAGATATCCCTCAATTGGTTTATCTGAAAGAAAAGTTGTTTTGCAATCAATAGAATCGAAGATCCGTGAATTGGGAGCAATAAAACGCAAAACAATTCGCAGACCTGTAGCAATGTCTGTTCTGGATACACACATCTCTGCAAATCTATGAGTACATAGATGAGCTTTTGTCTGCAACTTTCCATTGGTAATTATTGGTGCTACAAATATGCAATATTGACCGTCATTCTTCACTTCATCATTTTTCTTCCAACTCTCTTATTCTTTCTCTCTTGCAGTGCCACAGTTTGAAATATTTTTGTTCCTTTGGATTCTGTAGTATCATTATATCCTCTCTGTTCTTCAACATTTCTCCCAAAATCAATTCCTTAACTTCATTTTCAGTGTTCCACTCAATTGCATATTTGCCTGAACATTTACTAAATTTAAAAATCAATTTTGATGTCACCCAATAATCATTTCCATGCAATTTTTTTTATTGAACCTGCATCTTCTTTTTAAAAGTACCATTCTTAGAACTCCTAACCAGATTACTTTAGTTTTTGTGACATCTTCTGACTTGTGACGTAGTTACAGATTTGGATTCTGAAACTAGTTTTCAGTGTTATCATCATCTTTTCTTCTTCACTATCACTGTTATTTACTTCTACATTTACATCTTGAAGCAATAGAAATGTGATTCTACAGAAGGATGTAGAGAATACCATAGACTGAACAAGTGAGCAATACCAAATTTCAAGAGACAATGACAACAAAAATTACACTTATGCTTAACATCAGGAAGAGGGACTTGAAATTTCTGGAGTACACTATGTTAGTTTAGTCAATAGTCAGCAATTTTGGCCAAGCACTCACAGAAAACATCTAGCAACTGAAGTCTGCTCCCGTTGACCAAAGACAGCCACAGTGTCATCAGGAGTCCAAAGTTAACAGCAGCAACTGAAGTCACTGAATGCTGAAGAACTGTATTCCTACTATGCAGTAAAGTTTATACATGTATATTTTCATCATATAATCTTTGTTTGCAACTACAATGCCAACTCCTATTTATACAGTAGAATGTCAAAACAAATTAATCATTTTGATATGTGACCTGAGGTGACAAAATAAATAAATACTCCTTTTCACCTTAATGAAGTTTCATCCCCTATGTTATGTGTTACTTCTTATTCCTTTTCTTTTAGTGTGAGTTATGGTACCCTAGATGATATGCTTGAACAAGACTCTTCCATAATCATTGGTACTGCAGCTCTTGCAACACTAGAAATAAAAGCATATTTTTATTATGAACAGCATTGAGATTGTCCAAAATAATCCTAAACAAATTGTTCCTCTCTAGAATGAGTGGTTTGATTGCCAAGATACCAGGGATCATTGAATCTTTCCAAATAGAAGTTCAAATGAGGAATAACAATGTACATTATGAAGACTGCTTACTGCCGCATCACTTAGAAATACTGGTTTGCATATGATCACCAAAGTTAAGCAACATCAAGCCAGGTCAGTAACTAGATGGGTGACCACTTGAGAATGTCAGGTGCTGTAAGCTTAGATTTGTGAGTAAGGGAAAGGCATAAGTTCACCAGTTTTCTCTCCATCTATGTGTCCTGGGTATGATGATAAACTACATTCGTGTCCAGGGTAAGATGATAAACTATGTGTAACAGCAATAGTATGTGTGTGTGTGTGTGTGTGTGTGTGTGTACAGACATACTTGCAAGGCTTAAGACAGAAATTTAAAGAAAAATAAGACAAAATTTACAGGAAAATAAATAAAACTGGTAAGATGAAACAGTTAAAACAATAGGAAAATTAAACAGAAAGAGATTGTTGAAAACTTACATGAAGACAGGTGAAGCATTTCTTGGGGGAATTCCTGACCAAAGGTGTGGAAGACAAAGAATATCAATGGCACTTTCGTGAGAGTGGGGCATGTTTCAATCCAAGACAATGAACTATCCTACTAGTATAAGCATGAGGTAGGAATTATTTTCTTGGGAGCCATTTTACATTTTTCCTTTTTTTTTTGTGAATTTGACTGTAAATATGACTACATAACATCTTTGAGAAGTGTACAATATTTGCTCACCAGCCATTTTACCACACCAGAAAAGCTTCCATTAAATATAATGTGATCAACAATCTACATTAAATTGATGTGCTGGTAAACTTTGCAGATGTCCATTATATATATATACATACTTGCCTCAAAGCAAGGCTTAAGGCAGAAATTTAAAGAAAAATAACACAGAAATTTAAAGAAAAGTAAATAAATAAAAATGGTAACATGAAACAGTTAAAACAATAAAAAAGTTAAACATTAACACAGGCAAAGCATTTCTTGGGAGGATTCATGACCAAAAGTGTGGCCAATACAGAATAGCCAAGGTACTTCCATGGGAGAGAATAGGAGGGCATATCTCTAACTGAGATAATGAACTATCCTACTTGTATAGGCATGGGGTAGGAATCACTTTTTTTATTTTGGCCATTTTACATTTTTTTCTTTTTTTTTTGTGTGAATTTTCCTGTAAATAGGCCGACATCTCTTTAAATATAATGTGATCAACAATTGACATTAATTAATGTGCAGGTAAACAGTACCCATGCCCATAAATATTACATACATATATATATATATATATATAATATATATATATATATATATATATATATATATATATATATATATATATAATAGCTGGCCACTCATATTCAAGGATACCCATCTACTAGGGCAGCTAACCACTCTCTATTGCGGACTCTCGCTCAGGCACATTTGTGTTTGTTCAACACCCACAGAGTCAACCTGTAGTTTATACTGCAACTATGTTGAGCAGACCTTAGTTACAGTTTCTGGAAGAGAGCATGTTACCTAGCATGACCAACAATCTGAACAAGGCCAGCACACTCAAACCCTTGGTTACAATGACTTGTGACTTCATGCTAGCACAGCTACCAACATCTCCCAAGGGTTCTGTCTACCCAATTTCACTCACAAGGCTTGGGTCAACCCATGGTATGGTAAAGCAAGGCTTAAGACAGAAATTTAAAGAAAAAATAAAGAATTTAAAATGGTAACACGAAAGAGAAATGAATAAGCAGTTAAAAGAATAAAACAGTTAAAGAAAACGAGATTGCTCAACACCTTACATTAAGACCAGTGAAGTTTTGGATGGAATTTGTTAAATGATTTCTTATTTTTTCCCCCATGAATTCTTCTCTCACATGCAGACCTGAATAAGTGTTGGTCTTTTCCTTCGTCCAGTAGGAATCATAGCAAAATCTTCCTGCTATTCAAACTTTAGCATATAGGACACAAGCAGATTTTGACATTTTAATTTTGGTGTAAAATAGCTATATTACATAATGAAAAATATGTTAATTCTTTATGGTCTGGAGCCCCTGCTGCTCATTTCAGGGTCCTTGACAAAATCCAGAGACTAATATACAATGTGGTTGGCCCTGATCTGGCATCTCGTTTACAGTTGCTCTCTCACAGACATGCCATTGCTTACCTCTGTCTTTTCTACAAATACTTTCATGGTAACTGCTCTGATGAGCTATTTTTGCTAGTTCCCAAACTGCATGAATTTAAACATGCCACTAGGTTGGCATTTCGGACCCACTGTTTCACTGTTGAAATGGTTAAATGTAGCCATCTCTTCTACTTCTCTTGCACTTCCCGTCTGTGGAACTTCCTTCCTTTTACTTGCTTCCCTGATAGCTATAATTTCCAACTATTCAAATGCAATGCCAATCGACATCACCAGATGCTTTAATCCATTCCGCATCCTTCTCTTCATCCTTTCCTCTCTCACACCTCTTTACTTTTACTCCCATTTTCTGTAACCCCTTGTGTGCTAATGGCATTTCTGACTTGCTTGAGGTGAAAAGTTTAAAAAAAAAAGAAGTCTTATTAGAGAGCTCATAGCTGTTATCCGTGAAGAATTTCTAATCCATAGCTGAAATATTTAGACTATAATCTCTTCAAACTTCTTAGATCGCACAACTGCACACTGCAAACAAGCTGATAGCAAGGTCAATTAAGTGATGCAAATATGTAATGTGGCTTACCTGTGACTTTTCTATAAATATTTTCATGACAATTATTCTAATGAGCTTTACTCTTTGGTACTTCAACCTTGTTATTAGGTTAGAGGGCAAAAATAGATTAGACCTCCACTCGTATGAATGAAAAGTTATTCCATTTAATTTAGTGAAGTAACATATTTATACTAAAACTCATTCCTAAGTTGTGTATACAATAGTGGTGTAGTACGAAAATAAAGATGCTGCTTGAATTTGGTCCCCCTCCAGAATTACCACTACTCGTGACAACAAATAAATCTATTAGTATCATTGTTCTAGAGTGCATAAAAAGTCTGACTACTCCAAATGATTAGTCTCTCCTACCTTCATTTCATGGGATTTGAAGGATTATCAAATCCATGAATCTTTTTCAACTGGGTTCTCATATTTTTATAAGTCATTACAATGATCATAACCTTTGCTATCTGTTCTTGATAAAAGGATAATTTTGCTAATTTTCACAGATGAAATCCAAGACACTCTTCAGAGACTGATATCACATATAATGTATTTATATTTATTGAATTCATTACATTACTTAAACATAGAGAGATCCTTTGGCCTTCAATAACCTTCAAATGCATGAAGACCTTTAAAAGCTAATTAGATTTTGTTCTTCAGATAAAGCATTCTCGAAATTTTCAAAATATTTTCCACTTTATAATTATTAACAATTTCGTCTTGTTCCAATTGTAGAACAGCATCTTTGGAATCTTCATTGAGTATCATGGGTATTCCAGGTTTCTGTTTCTTTGGTTCTAGTCTAGTTAAAGACAGCCAAATTACCAACTTTTTCTTCCATTTTTCATAATTGTCTTCTTTTCTAAAGACCAATAGTGCTTTATTGTAATTTGCCAAAACCATGATGCAGACATTTGATGCTAATGTTAAAATTTCATTTTTTTTCTCAAAACTCTTAGTTCACTATTCCTTTTTTTTTTAATTGTTTAATTTTTCTTTTTTCATTCTTCTTTTCTCAAAAGTTTTGTGCATTCTTTCTTTTATTTTTTAATTTTTCCTTTTTTTCATTCTTTTTCTTTCTTGAAAGTTTTTGTGCATGGCTTCGTTTTATTTAATTTTTTAATTTGTTCTTTTTTTTCATTCTTTTTTTTTTCTCCAAAGTTGTTTTGTATTATTTCTCTGTTCTTATTCCTAACAACTATGTTCTATTACTAAATGTCAGTATCCAAAATGTTTACTGAAAATCACTTACATAAATGTCCCCAGTTTCTTTCTATCATGTCCTTCTTATATTCCAAATGTCTACTCCTCCACATCCAGTTGCCATTCCTTGTAGCGCTTCTAAGGCCAGTAACTAATAATGACTATCTAATATTTCTTTCAGTTTTCATTCTGAATATATCATCATTACAGTGTCAGTGACACAGTTAATGTTGTTAAGGTTATTTAGATAGATTTAAATGAATTTTCTAAGTTTACTCATTCAACGTTTTAAATGATATTTATTTATATATTTATTTTCGTTTTAACATGCTGCATAAGTCGTAATTTATTTATTTTGATTGTAAAAACAATGTAAATTTTTAGTTATTTTATGGTTGAATATTTTTTTTATTAATAACAGTAACCATTAGCTGGAGAGATGAAACTTGATCGGGATGTGGGGAGGAAAAAAACAAAAAAAAGGAAAGAACGGAAAACATATAATTACCTTCCGAGTATCCAGTGATAGGATATCCACACATTTTTTAAAAAAAAGAAAAAATCCCCCCTAAACAATTTAAATAGAGCTCACACCATTGTGATTGGCTGTTGGTCAACTTCCAATCAAATGTGTAATAGCAGGTTGTGGTTTGCCTAATATGTCAGCATCTGCAGGCTGTTAATTTAGAGGGCAGATCAGAGACTGATCAGTTCTGATGAGGTTAACTTGGTGAGGGCAGTATGATGTTTGAAACACCTGAAATTGCCCAATGATGCAAATCAGAACATCACTGACAACACCCTCTAGTGCTAAATAGCATATATTCAAAGTTGTTTATTAATAATAAATTTTGATAGATCTTCTATTTTTCTTAGAAACATCTTTCTAGGCAGGCTAAATTAATGCACTGTGAAAACCTACCCTTGTCTTCTTTCTGTTTTTGTTTATTTTCTTGTCATTATCTGTGTACAAGCTCTTTGTTCCCATTACAAGTTATAGATTATTTGAATATCTTTTCCATGTAGATCAAGCTTTCCTAAAATTTCAAGGAGTTCTTCATATTACAATTAATAAGATCTATAAAGCATAGATACAGATCTTTTTTGCATTTCTGTTTCATACTTTCATGGATTTCTGATCATGAAAATTGCATTTCTTGTTTCAGTGTCTTGAGAAAAGTCACATTGTTCTTTCCCTGTTTTCAATTTAATTCTGAAATGAACTCTTTTTATTATAATCCTAATTATTAGTTTAGTCACGTCGCTCATCAGGTTGATTACTCAATTGGTT